CTATTATATACATAACTAACATAGACAAATAATGAAGTACAATATACGATCAGAAGACAGGTAAACTTTCAAGGGTATTTTGACGTAAACACAATGCTTCTTTTATATACTTTGCTAGATTAAACATATATTTTTTACTTTTATTTGACATCAATGCATTGAACTTTTGTAAAGTTGGCCATGAACACTGGCCCAAATATTTCGATCTAATACTACTGTAACGTGAGCAACACATAACAAAATGATATTCTGACTCTACTGCATTTTGGTTACATAGTTTGCACAATCTATTACTTCTTTCAATATTATTATATCTTCCTAATTCTATATCTAAACTATGTGAGCACAATCTTAAGCATGTCAAATGCTGCCTTAGCTTATCATTCAATATAACATCCAAGTACTTTTCAAAACAAAATTCAGTTTTATATTTGCAATAACAATCTAATTTTGACATAGAATTAATATTTAAACTCCATTCTTGAATAAATTGATCTCGTATTCTAGATTTTATCAAAAGGTAATAATTAACCCTAGGATCAAATGTCAACCTTATATCTGAAAAACCTAAATGATCTATAATAGAATTCATTCTACTAGCCCAACTAGAGGTACTTACATTATTACATAAATCATTAAACATTTGATAAATAGGTAAATCATTACTTTTCATAATTTTCAACCAAAATTTAACGCTTCTTTCTTTACATATAACTGACAGAGGCACTCGGCCAAGTTCACCATATACCGCATATGTAGGAGTTTGTTTCTTTACGCCTAATATATATTTACAAAATCGAATATGTAATTTATCTACCTCTTTATAATTATAAGCACCCCAAACTTCACATCCGTACGTTAATATAGGGACAATCATAGTATCAAAAAGAGATAACTTGGTACGAATATCTAGACTAACATTATCAAAAACGTTTAAAAGATTATTATACGCCCTAAGAGCTTGCTCATGTAGTGCTTTTACACCATCTATATGTAAATAATTTCCGTCAACTGAACATAAATTTATTTTCTGTTTTATAAGTTGAGGGGGATTCTTCAATTTTCTATATATTCTGCGATGCAGAAGACAAACTTCAGCACCTGAATCTACTAACGATCTGTATTTATAGTTTTCTATTTTAATCAAACACGAATTAGGGCTTCCAGCTAATGCTACACTAAATTTTGGTATTTTATCGTTCCTGTCAATGACCCCTTTGTGACAGGAACTTGCTAGTTTTCCTGAAAATTTATTTTGTTTCTGTCGTAAAAATTTTGTTTACGACATTCTCGCATTTATTACATTTCCAGCACTTAATCTTTGATTTCAAACTATTATTGCTATTATTTTTCCTAAATCGTGAAAAATTTTGTCGGTAAAATACAGAATATATTTCATTTTTCCTAAATCTACAACTACGCACATGGTGACCTGGTCTCTTACAGTACACGCAAAATATTTTTGTATAATAATGACTAAAATTATTTGCTTTGTAATTCATGTATTTTGCATGATTTTGAGAATTAGAAAATTTTACTCTGGCAGAAAATCTAGCTCTGAAATTCTGTTCATTCATTGCGCAAGTAATTGCTTCTTGTAAAGTTTTTGGCTTTTCTCTCATAAGTTTAAGTTTTAAATAATTAAGCGCTAAATTATCCGTAAACAATTCTACTAACTGAAGTTCAACAATTAAACTATTATCTCCTAGTTTATAATTTTCATAAGCGGTTTCAGCACAATTAATAAATTTTTCCCCAAAAAATTGAACACTTTCTCCCAAATCTTGTTTTAAATTTCTCAAAAGATAAAATTCATGATGTAAATCTTTAATTTCCCCAAATCTAGTACTTATTTCTTCTTTTAATTGTTCCCACGAATTACGATGATTATCACGCAAATATCTACATATAAAATCGCTTACAGTCCCTTTACTTGATTGAAATGCGACTAATTTTATTTTATTATCATCCAAACCTTTTAAAACAGCATATTTTTCTATAGATTTTATCCAGTCATTAAAATATTTAGAATTTCCATCAAAATTTTGTACTATTTCTGATAAACCCTGTGTACCTATGACAGTTGAAATATTGTCCAATTTATCCGACAAATTTTCAAAAATTGTAGCTATTTCTTGATCTGACATCTTCAAAATTAGCAAATTACAGGTATATAAACGATCACTCACCTTTAATTTTCTGTTTCAGGTACTTCGTTGTGTCCCGCTGTCCAAAATCGTCGCTTCGACATCGCTGGTCTTAGGCGCCAAATCAACCGTTGTCGTATAACGGAGGAAGAACTCACGGATGTTACATACTTTTAATATACAAATACAAACACACAAGTGTACGAGTGGAATACCAAAACCGAACTCCTCACTGGACATTTGAGAATAGTATATATAATGACAACCTGTCATAAGGACATGTTATAATGTATATAAATACACGCGTTATAAAGTTACATATATTAATCATTTTGACATAAGCTCAGTCCGCATGTATCCTGCACTATAATATTCATAAATCAAAGTCATGTTCCATAGTGCACATTATGAAATAAAAACCTTAATATATGTATATACATGTTGACTTGTCATTCTTTTTGAATATAGCGTGTATGACTAATTAGCCTGTGCAACCAGCTATACGACAAAACCATTGCACATACTTTCTTGTTTTTGATGTATAGAGACTTGAAATTTGGAATGGTGTACAGAGCCTTGAAATTTGGACCAGGAATGTAATTTATGATGCGAATTGAATTAAGATATCAATTGACTTGACTTCTTTTGATATTAGTATTTGATATTATTTGACCTAGTTTGTCGTTTTTTTTGATGTACCTGCTGGAAATTTAGAAAAGGGGTTTAATTTCTGATCCTGAATTGAATTTGAACTGGTCTACTTTTGATATATTTGATATCGCTTTACCTACTTTTTTGTCTTTTATGTACAGACTTGAAATTTGGACTATGGGTGTAATTTGTGTATTTGTTTATGTTGAATTTAATATTGATACCAGCTGACCTACTTTAGGTATTATTGACACCATTTGATTTACTTTTTTTGAATTTTGACATTCATATTTTAAATTTGGACCAGGCGTGTAAATTCTGATGCCGAAATGAATTTTGATATAAATTGACCTACTTTTGATATTTTTGATATAATTTGACCTTCATTTTTGTGATTTTGACTTACAGACTTGGACTAGGGGTGTAATTTCTGATGCTGAATTGAATTTTAATATCAGCTGGCCTACTTTTCATAAATTCTACAATGTTTGACCTATTGTCTTTTTTTGAGGTACAATTATGTTACCATACTGAATGTATAAAAAAATTGTTGTCTTAAACTGTAAACTTCAAACATCTACACCTTACATGTTTTGTGTCTTCAATCAAAAAAAGTTATAAAACAAGTGTCCAGTAAATATTAATCCTGCTCTAGTGGTCATTTATTCTGCATTTATTCTACATAATCTCATAGGAACACACTTGCAACTTACATGTTTTTAACAAAGCCTTTCCAAATTATTAGGGCAAAATATTACAATTTATATAGTGAATAATGAAATGATGGGTTAGATAAGTTATCTGAGACCATCTTAGTGGCCCTATTGTTTATTATGAAGAAAAAAAGCTAAAACGATCATCGTTGTGAAAGTATATTACTTGAGGGGCAAGTTAAAGTTGAGCTGAACTTGCCGAAAGAGCTGGACTTGCCTTTCAGCAAGTTCTTTTGAAAAATAATTTCCAACACTGAAAAGCAGTTGTTTCTGGTGAGCGACTCAGAGCCATCAAGGCCCTCTTTTTTCTTTTGCTTGTTTGGATTTGTTCATGCCGTTGTCTTCCTTGGTTTAATTAATTAAGTTAAGAAAGGTTATCATGGAATCTTCGCGTTTCTATAAAGTATTATTAAGACGGTGTTTCATAATTTGTTTGTTTTACATAATATTAAATAAATAACAATTGTACATCCGATAATGTTATTTATTTAATATCATGTAAAAAAATGCAACATGCAATATGTTGGCCAAACTAAACAACAAGTGTTCAAAAGAATGAGTAGTCACAGATATGACATTAAGAATTTCAGTGACCCTGTGTATGCCAGTGGTGTTGCAACACATTTCAACACTACAGACCACAGTATGACTTCAGCTTTTTACCTGACATTGTTGACAATGACATGGACAGACTCGTCCGTGAAACATCTTGGATTCACAGACTTGATACTGTGTTTCCTTCTGGCATGAACACCAGTGTATTGTTCAAATTGTAAATTTTAGTTGGCAATTGTAAATATTTAGCAACTGTTTTAAAACTTTCTCTATGCATTTTTAATGTTTTGTCTTATTATTATTTTACACTTTTCTTCATTATTTTTATTTATTTATATCATTTTTTTTCATAAAATATTTCATTATTGTATGCAAATTGTCTATTCTTGTACTTTCTGCTGTTTTTATTACCTCCCTTTATTTTTGAAAAAATATATTTTCCCCCTTCTTACTATGATTTTATTTTACAAATTAGTTTTACAAATTCACTTATTCATTTATTCTTTTTATTTAATTATTTATTATTATTATTATTATTATTATTATTATTATTATTATTATTATTTTTATTATTATTATCATTATTTGTGTTGGTGATGATGATGATGATGATTATATGTAATGGATAATGTTGTTGTTGTTATTATATCATTATTATTATCTTTTTTTATTATTCTAGATAATTTGCTGGCTAATTAAATAATGCTTTCTCGCTAATTCCCAGTGAATGTGTATATATAAAATTATATGATATATTTTGACATATAGGTATGTTGGGTTTTATCATTTATAAATAGACACATTCACGTAAACCATATTCTAATAAGAGAGGGTAAAAGCACCTTCAATAACTTGCTTGTTGAAAATTAGTGCATAAGGTATACCATTCAAAACGGACGAACTCGCATGACAAAGAATAGTTGCCGCGTTATAAATGAGGCCGCTTTCAAGCGAAACATTGGATTTCAGGGGAAACAGTGGTACAACGTCTGTTGTTTGGTATTGTCGCGAGTTATCCAATAAGTTATCACAAGTAAGTGTATTTATTTGATTTTCTACACTTCTTTCATCTTTCTTTTTTTTTCGTTATAGTAAAAGATAAAATAGTACGTATATTGAAATTGCTGAAAATGGTCTGATTTTTTTTTTAAATGACCAAGGTGGTCTTAAATATCGAGGTTTCACTTTACAACTTTTCCGATAAGTCTTAAAAATAAAATGAGTCGAAATTCTTTTTTTTTTCAGAACTACCTTATACTACTTTCGTATTTCATGTTCAGTTTTGAAGAAACCTGTATTAACAATTACTAGTGATGCTAATAATAGACCCCACTAATATTTTTAGATTACTATTAATACATTACCTAATCCAAATTAATTGTCAAATTTGAGCAATTTAAATATAAGGCAAATGCTGACAGCGACAACAACTTTATCAAATAACTTTAATTTGCGGATATTTCTTATATAAGTTATGAGCCAAGTTAAGGGGAGATACATGACGAATTAGAGACACTACAACATAATCTGACCGACGGAAACGCGTACCCAAAATGCGGAAAACATTTTTCAAATAAATGGAACTTAACAAGACACTTAAAATCAAATGTCTGTGAGAAAAATCGGTTCCACAACATAATCTGACAGACGGAAACACGTGCCAAAACTGCGGACAACATTTTCCAACTAAATTGAATTCATCAAATCAAATCAATTTAAAACGCGGCGTGATTCAAATAGACATAGTTCAAAATGCGCGGCAGTAGTCAAAAAATGCATTATATGCCAGAAGATATTCAAGTCTCGGAACTACCTGGACTTACGTTTGAGACGGTCTCACAATAATATTTGTCCTTTGTGTGACGAGGTATTTGGCATAGACAAAGAACAACTAGTTGCCCATGCCAGAAGACATTTCAGGGAAGACTATCTGACATTGCCTCAAGTTAAAGCTCTGAGGAAGATCACGGGGAAATCGGCCCTTATTTCGCCGTCAGCCAATTCATCAAGCTCTACTGTCGCTTCAAATGATCCGACTCCCGGACCATCACGTGTGTTGGACGTGGAACCAGCCTTCCAGCAGACCTCCAGATCAATACACGGAAATGCTGGGACTGAAATATCAATAAAACCGACCGACGCAGAAAAGTATTCATTGTTGGTACTTTTCGACGGAAAACGACAACAAATAAATTGGAATCTCGAAACGTATTTAGAGAGGTAATTTATATTTTGTTAAAATCTTTTATATCAAAAAATATATAACACATGGATAGATTTATGTTTTGTGCACATGTAATTACAAAATGCAACCTTTAATTTAATCTCTGCTTCTTAAGTAGAAATTATGTTCTGTCCTGTTGGTTAATAATAATAATTACCACTAAAGGTGTAACGCTCCAAATGAGTATAAGCGCAATACCCTGTTTAAAGAGTAAAACAATAATTGATCAGCAATGCATATTTATAAAATTGATATTCATTTCATATTCTCTTGCAGATGGACGAATGTGCGCTGGTACCTAAATGCGAAATGCAGAATGGTTCGGTATGACAATGATGGAAATATTAGGTAAGTATTCAAAATATCATTTAGCCATATAAACTGTCGTCAGCGAATAAAATGAAAAAAAAATATACGAAAGGAAAAGCAATTATTTATGTATTTTTCATGGTTTGTTTACTTGTTTCTTTTTTTAGTTTGATTGTTTGCTTGCTTGATCGTGTGTTTATTTGAAAAGTCATAGTAAAATGTTAGAATACTTTGAAACATTTCCTATAATAGCAATGAAACAAAGAAAATTTTACATTTTTTTTTTCATTTCAGGGACACAGACTTTCCTTGTTTTAGAGCAAAATCTCAGATTCTGTTATCCAGCGATACGATTCCAGCCCAAATTGACCAAGCATATTTTAAAGTGAATTCATCGCTGGAATCGTACTGTTCATCTGAAAGTGGCTGGGTTCTTGATGAAGTGTTACTTCTAGAACTTTTTATATTGAAATATAATCCTTTAGGTGGTAACTGTGGGGACCTTGAACTGCCGCAAGAGTTATTGAGAACTCGTGCTTTGATAAATGTCACCGGTAGACCAGCTAACAGCAAAACTTGTTTTTTATATGCAGTCATTGCAGCCATTCATCATAAAGCTGATGAGCATACTGGTTCCGTGCACTGGTCCGAATTTGAGGACAAAAGACAAATGTACCGGTTACCGGAAAGCATGGATCAAAATGAAACGGTTACTGTGACAAAAATTCCAGACTTTGAAATAGAAAACGAGATTTCAGTCAACGTTTTTGCGTATGAAAACGACACGGTTTTTCCTTTGTTCGTGTCTACAAATAAAAGTAATAAAATATGATAAACAAGATCAACAAGGAAAGGCGGCGTTCAATGAACGCAACCCCCACATGACCCAGCAACAAGAACCAATGGCAAGGAGCCCAGGCGGACCCCAAACAAAAACAGGACAGGGCAAAGACAGAGCACGGACATGTTAAACATTAAATGATAAATAATTTATAACTGATTAGGAATTCAAAGAAAATAATAATAATTTATAACTGATTAGGAATTCAAAGAAAATAATAAAAGGCCCATAAAGGGGAAGGGGACAGGAGACCGGGGGGTGGGGGGTGTTAATCAAAGAAATAAAATCTAGAGGCAATGGGGAAGACACCCACCGTAGACGAGACAACAACAAGGGACACAAGCAAAAGTGTCACCAAAACAGTATGAAACAACATAGACATACATCTGAGGAACAGAGTGGGGCGCCGCCTTGGAACGGTCAGCAGTCCATGCTAGTTTACTGCTGTTTAATGTAATGCAGAAGAATTATGACAGTGCTTCACAGCAGGCATTTCCACACTATTGTGCCATTAAGGACCTGGGGACTCTCATCTACCATCAACGTGCGTCCAACCATAAACTCTATGTATGTCCGCGATGCTTAAATGCTAAATACTCCCAAAGAGACCTACAGCAACACATGGAGCTGTGTAATTTAGTGGAACCTTTGCACGTGAAAATGCCACTGCCTGGTAAACATTTCGTACAATTCAAAAAGCATCATTTACAACTTGAAGCACCATTCGTAATCGTGGCAAGGTTCGAGTGTTTCCGACGGCCAATTTATGACATCAATGAACCAACAGAAGGACCGTTAGGGAAAGATTTCATGAGCCATGTGCTTTTGCATATTACAGAATTAGTACTGATAACAGCTATCCGAAAAACCCAGTTTTCTTCACGAACAACGACCCGGACATAGTCATGAAGGAATTTTTAGATTGCATGCAACGTGAACAGTCAGAAGCCCTTGCGATCATGCAGCGAATTACGCCAATGACGTATTGTGATGAAGGAATCCGCAACATCGAGGCATCAAATGATAAATGCCACGTCTGTGACGACACATTCGTTCCGGGACAGCGCGTTGCAATGGATCACTGCCACATTACAGGTATGCCAATTCAAAAGTATTTTTAACTACGTGCAAAAATGTGCTAAAGCGTGTAATTTATATAGATTAGTCTGACCTGAATTTAGTGGCCTCATCCCTTTTAATCGTTAAAATTTCATAAAAACTAAATCTAATAAACACTACCATTACGTAAGAGGTCAAAATTAACAAGTTACGTTAGCTAACAAATAAATATCATCTCATTTTTTCACGATTTGTAAAAAGTTATCACCGGTCAGGGACTTTGTTGACGGAAAATGCTTTTCAGCCATCCTTAACAGAATAGAACTCGTCTATATTTACAGTCAGGTAATACCCAAGTTGTCACTGTCCTGTCCTATTTAATTAATTGGTTATGTAAAATTATGGTTGAACTCATTTTAAACTAGATATTTTCCTCAGCTGTTTCTCAGCTGAATTGAGTTTTTATATTTTCAAATATGTAAACATTTATTTAAATATGAATTTAATTACAATTAATTTGCTTTTGTTTGTACATGTGCTTGATAATGTTTGCTTTTATTATTTTCATGATGTTATTCCACTCAAATTATCGCACACGTTGCTTTGTTGCAGGTAAGATTCGAGGCAGGGCCTGCATGGGATGTAATCAGAAACTGAAGGTACCAAATCATCTTATTGTTGTTTAAAACGACCTCTCCGTGTACGACGGAAGAATTCTATTGCACAGCTGATATTCATGGCGTCGATAACATTAAAGCCATTCCAAAGACTAAAGACTCATACGAAGGGTTGATCATAAACAGATGCCGCTTCATCGACTTTAAGAATTTCTTCAAGGACCCACTTAGATCTCTTGTAGACAGACTTCGAGCGGAAGAAGGTGATCGCGCTTTCGTGCATGCCAATACGTACTGGCCGTGCTCAGCTAATGAATACAAGCTTTGTAAAATAATGTTATGTAGGGACTACATAAGAGGTCCAGAGGCGCTGATCGATCGAGTCAGAACTGCCATCCATTGAACAGTTCGGTGACTGCATCGAGGAAACGACATTGTCACAAGACGACTACCGAGTCGTGAAAAACGTCTGGAATTCAGCTAACGAAAAGGTCGTAAAAAACTAATGGAATTGGTACTGATTACAGACTGTTTATTTTATTTACGGCCGATAGTGTCAGCAATCTGAGAACAGCTGTGATGAAAGACCTTAAACTGGACCCTATTAGGTTTTACACACTCGCTAGCTTTGTATCGGTTCAGTGGCATTTCACTTGGACTGCAAACTACCCACGAAGCACATCTTATGATAAAAAATGCTATAAGGGGTAAGTTTAAAATTAATTAATCAATTTTTATTAATTAAGTTAGTTATTGATAATTAATTATTTAACTTAGAAAGAAATTCATTTATTAATTATTTAATCATATAATTGATTAATTAAATAACTGTCATGTTTTATTTTCGTTAAATGGCAAACACTTTTTTAAATAGAGATTTAGTGAGCCTTTTCAAACGTAAACGATACGTTAAGACAATTTTTAAAAGTTTGTAGATTGTTTGATAAAGAAATACACATTTTATAGTTTAATAACTATCGTTATGGTATCACTTTACCTTAGATACGTACTCATTCACAGGTGGTATTGCAGTTGTTGGACATCCGAGGTATGCCCGGGCAAACAACGCCGGAATGCCAAAAGAAATGTTCAACGAAGATGAAAAGAACAGCTACATCGACTTCATGGGTTTCAATGGGTTGTATACATCAACATAGACCTCTGCAAGACTCCCAGCATACAGATCTCGTTTCCTCGAAAGAAATGAGATAGACAGAATTGATTTTGCGGAAATACCATCAGATAATGATCATGGTTATATTTTAGATGTTGATTTGAGCTATCCACCAGAACTGCACGATGATCACGATGGTATGATATTTTTCCACTTTTATTTTGATTAAACTTATAGTAACAAGCCAAAATGGCTGATCTTAAAGCCCGTTCCGTACCCGCTCTGTTGGTATATCTTTCACCTGTACATATTTAGACCAGACAAAAAATAATGCATTGGTAAATATGAGAAATTCGTTCATTTATTGATTTCAGATTTCCCACTAGCCCCGGAACGAGTGAAAATTACAAAAGATGATTAATCGGAAACACTGTCAGAATTGCGGAGTCGTGTGGTGTCAACATGGACAATATAAAACCGGACAATCGCTTGTGTTCTGACATTGAACGACAAACAAAAGTACACAGAACACTACAGAAACCTGAAGTTCTACACAAAACACGGTACATGTGTTATCAAAATACACCGTGTACTGACTTTCACATAGGTTCAATTTTTGCAGTCCTTTAGCAGTTTTAAATTTCAAATTTCCCTGATGGACATCCACTTCGACGTGATGAGAACAAGATGGTTCCCGGCAAAGTTAAGTTTGAGCACAAGTAGGGATAGAGTTCGTGACTCTGTCACCGAACAGACCTGGGGTAATCACTAATCGTAATCATCGATTTTTAATTGATTACATGATTACACTGTTATCATCATGTAATTGATTACCTTGCTCAAAATGGATTACATTAATTGTAATTAATCAATTACAGCTTAAATTCAGCCTGTAATAATGATTACAATTTGATTGATGTTGATTACTTTCAGATTTTACATAAAACTATTGAAATTCAAATGATTTATTTCACATGTTACAGTTTAACTAAGGTAGTAAAATATCAAGTGAGACATTTTAAGACATCACTCACAATGAAGAAATCAGTTTTAAACCATACAGTAAACCAAATTCTAACTAAAAGATAGACATGGTTTGGCTGGTATTCTAACCAAAATGTCAAATCATTGGATGTATGATGTCTTTGAATTTCCGAAAGAAACATCTGGAAATGTGACAGCACAGTGCAAATTGTGCCCTAAGAAGATAAATGGAAACACTTAGTCACATTCAATTTTCATTACCAACATAAAGGTATGTTAAATTTTGTTTCACATATTTTGGTTAAACCATGTTTTAAAAGTTTCAAACAATGTAGATAGCTTCTTAATTTATATATTCTAGAGTTTATGTCAGATGCATTATTACCATATTTCAATTATATGCAACAGTTATTTTGTAAGGTGATAGACAATGTGTCTATATTATAATGAATACTGTTGTACCATTGAAGTGTTTGTAAAAGAAATTATAATTTCTTTGTAAAGCCTATTGTCTCTTTGAATTCCCATATAAAAATTTATTGTTTTCACACCTGTTTTAACACCTGAATACAGCATACTGTAGAATTGACACTTTTCAAAATTTCTGTTGCAGAGAGTTCATTATGAAACCTACACCAAGAAGACTGAGGACCATTCCTGCATCATTGGCCCCTGTAGAGCGTTTGCTTAGTGTTGCGGGTAAAATTTTCCGTCCTGGTAGATGCAGTCATGTACTTATGATGCTAAAGTGCAATGCTAAAATATGATAAAGTGATGTGACAGTAACTAAAAGTGTGTTAAAATGATGACTGTTGATGAGCTGGAAATCCTTTGTGTATATAATGTATATATTAAATAGCATTAAGAAACTTTTGTTTATAGTTATACATGGAATGTAATCAATTGTCAATCAATAACTTTCTTAAAGTAATTGTAATTAAATTGATTACAGAGGCAAGTCTGAGTAATCAATTGTAATCAATTACAATAAAATCTGAAAGTTATTGTAATTAAATCAATTACTGATCAATGTAATCATCCCCAGGTCGGTCACCGAAGTGCTATTTATTTAAAACAGATCGAGGATTTAAGCAAACTAGAAAGGGTCGCTCGAGAGACCTGTGGTGAGATATGATAGTCTGACCATATCCGGAAGATTCAGATCTGGTAAATTCTTTTAAAAGGTTTGAACATATATGTGTTATTTTCTCAATGAT